CACATGGATCTATTAGAACTTGGGGAGAACTTTTACAGAAATTTCTATCTAAATATTTTTCTCCATCCAAAACTGCTAAACATAGAAATGACATAACATCATTTTTTCAGATTGATGGAGAGTCGATATATGAAGCTTGGGAGAGATTTAATAATCTTCTTAGGAAGTGCCCTCATCATTCATTACAAGATTGGTTGATAATTCAAACTTTTTATAATAGATTAGTGGGATCACTTAGATCGATCATAGATGCTACGGCTGATGGTTCTTTAATGTGAAAACCTTTTAACAAGGCTTATTTGTTAATAGAAGAGATGGATACCAACAATTTTCAATGGCCCTATGAAAGGGTATATCCTAAAAGAGTAGCTAGTATCCATGATTATGATGCGATATCTATGTTAGCTTCGCAAATTGCTGCAATATAAAAGAAATTAGGTCATTATGGGATGAATTATTTCCCAATACCTCCTATGATGGAAGAGAATTCATCTGGGTAATTTGTGGGTGTTCAACCTTCATATGAGACTTTAAATGCTATTAATAGACCCAATAACCCTTATTCAAACTATTATAGCCAAGGTTGGAAGAATCATCCAAATTTTAATTGGAATAACAATTATTCTACAAATCAACAATGGGTAAACAACCCAGTGAACCCATTAAGAAATTCGTCCATCAAAGGAAATGCTAACTATAGACCTTCTTATCCTCTAGGATTGAACAGTAACACTCAAATTATGGAGAAGAAGTTGTCTATGGAAGAGTTGATATTAAACATGGGTCAACAATTGCAGAATCAAGGAAATCAATTACAAAATCAAGGAACTGCTATTAACAATACTAAAAATCAATTAGGGCATATCGCTACTGCGCTTAGTAACCAAACATTGGAAACTTTTCCTAGTACTGTGGAACGAAATCCTAAAGATCAAGGAAAAAAATAGATAAAAGCGATACAATTACAAAGTGGAAAAGAATTGGAAGCGAGAGTACAGAAAGAAATGGAAACTGAAAAAGAGAAAGTAGATACCAAAAAAGAAAAGGATCATGAATATCCATATTTAGAATATCCACTTGCACTAATGAAAATTGCTGTGGAGAAACCTCCACCACCGTTTCCTCAAAGATTGAATTAACACAAACAAAATAAATAATTTTCCTAATTTTTAAAAATTCTTAAGATTTTAACGGTAAATATTCCCTTCGTAGAAGCTTTAGATCAATTGTCCAATTATATAAAATTTATGAAAGATATTCTGAATAAGAAAATGAAGTTGACCGATAACAAAACGGTTACACTTAGCGAAGAGTGTAGTGTAATTATTTAGAAA